TGTAAAAGCTTCTACTGTTTGACATTTACTATTATGAGAATGTATATAAATAAACATGCGTTATGAAAGGTTATGTTAGTAACACGCAATGATAAAATTTGTGACACATATAGGCATCGTCGGTAAATTTAAAGAGTATGTCTTCAAGCTTATAATTTAATCAATCTATTAATTCTTTGAATATAAATATTTTCTTGAAAAACTTACAGCTATTCGTTTATTTTCTTCTTCTTGAAGTCGATTTTTCTCTGCTTGAATTTGATCCAAACGTCGTTGATGCATATAAGCATCATATTTCGATGTTAAATCTTTTGGTGGTTTAACAGTATATTTTTTATGTTGAGCTTTTATTTGTTCCATACGTTCCTAAATTCATTTATCGGAAAAAAAAAGTTTAAAAACAAAGATTCGTCTCCTCTTCCATCAATAAATTTACTTCATGTTTTTTTTTTGCATATGGATTTGGTAATCGAGTTGTATCCATATAACAAACTTCTCTTGTAGCATATCCACTTACGACATATGCATCATATCCAGCACCAATTAATAATGAACAAAGAAGATTAGCATAATCAAAACAATTTCCACGTTGATCAGCAAGAACTTTTGTTGGTGACCAAAGTGTTTTTGGCTAGGAAAAATTTTACATTGAAATTAAATGATTGTTTTCTTTTAATAACTTACAAGTTCATGTGCTGGATCAAGTAATTCATAATTAAGATGATCAGCAATAAATTCAGCTCCTAAATTCCATTGAAATAATTCAGAAAATGCAAGCATTGTTGGTTGAATTGTTGTACAAACAAATTTCTATGTTTTTTGTTTTAATTTAAGAAAAAACAAATTAAATGAAAAGAAGATAATCCTGTCGAATAAAATGATCAGCCTTCATTTGAAAAGCCATTTATTCCGTTTTGTAGAACAATTTGTGACGGTTCGTATGGTATATAGAAAATTGCAGATCAAATTGGTCAATCAAAAAGTTCATGATTTCACATATATAGATCTTTTAAAAATGGCAAAAAGGTTTTCATTTTCACATCCTGGAGAGGTACGGGAATGGACTATTACAAAGATTAGTTTTTATTTTATTTTGCTTCTTATGAATTTTGCATTCTGACTAACCCTACCATATTCCCGTACCTCGTCTAAAAGTCTGAAAGCGAAAACATTTTTTGCCATTTTCGAAAGATCTATATATGTGAAATGATGAACTTATTATTAATAGATAGAAACTTTTTCATTCAAAAAATATTTATTGCAAAATTTATACACTTTTCTTTCTGGAAGAATCGAAAAATAATTGCTATAATATCCCTGAACTAGTATTTGGGTTCTTAAAACATTAAAATTTGATGAATATGTATCACGAGTTACCCTAAGAAATGAAATAGATAGCTTTTTTAAATGAAGGGTAGTCATCTTATCCGACAGGTTCTTTTGTGTTTGTTTTTTTTTGTTATATTTACAGGTACACCACATTCATTTAATGGAGTGAGAAGTATTGGTTTTCGATCACGATAAATATAATGATATTGACGACGAAAATTTTCAACGAATGTTAATATTAATTCTTCTTTTTCAGAATTTTTTCGATATGATTCCGGATAATCTTCTGGATTATCACAAGTAACAAGTGGTCTTGAAGAGAAAAGCTTCAATTACAAAAATAAACAAACAAAAAATAAGATGTACTAACGGAGGAAACATATCCGGAGCAATAATGGGTTGTAGTTTAGGTTTCGATGGTAAGATATCTTCCTGTTGTTCATTGGTTAAAGTAGTTTGAAAATCACTTGATTCTACATTGATATTTGTAAATTCTTCTCCATCATTATCAGTTTCATGTGTTAACTGTAGAAGAAGAAAAATAGAATTTTGATATTCGGTTTTCATTTTTGAAAAAAAAGAAAAGAAACCTCATGTCCATTAGTATTATTTGGAATTTCAGGACCAACTGGATCCGTCATTGTTGATGAGAAGAAACTTCTTTTTTTGTCTTTTGCTAACTAGAAACTGTTTCTACATCACCATTTAGTTGTTTAGTGCCATTGACAACGAGCCTTTCTATGTAATTGGTTGTTTTAAACCAATCGAGTTTTGTTTGTCATTCAATCTAACAAGCATATATTTTTGAGAAGAATCATCAAGAGTCTATTGTGAGCTATATGTGATTTTAATATAAGATGAATAATTATATGTATTTTGTGGTTCAAATAGAATTTGATATTGCTTATTTGTTCCTTTTTGAAGTTAAAGAGCTAATTAAAAAAAAACACTTGTTCATAGAAATACGGAATCGTTTTTCTTTCAACATCGAAAGTTTGTATAAAAATTTCGCAGAGTTTTTCAGAAAAGAAAATTTCAAAAAAACAACATTATAGTTCGTCTTTGTTTATTCCAATATAGTACGATCGATTGGGCTCAAGTTTTTGTTTATAAATATTTTAATTGAACTCAAAAGCCTTTTTTTTCAAATTCCTGTTCCTATTAAACCTCAAAATAGGATACTCCGTTCAAATCGACGACTTCTTTCCTCAAGTAAGATTTATACATCTTGTAAAGTAATAAGAATCAGAAAGTTTTACTATATATCAACGTTCATTTAGACAAATAAATACAAACAAAACACTTCTTCAGTTCAATTCATTCACACATAAGAACCGTACTTAAAGTATTAATTGAAATAAGCAGTATGAGTATTATTGATCCGTAGCAGTGTGAAAAATCTAAGCTACAAACAATAATTTGTCTGTCTGTTTGATATTGTTCATCGAATGATTTCATGTCGAGATCGAAGCTTAATACCTTTAAATTCTGGTGACTTGTACAACATACGCATCATTGAAAAAAAAAGACGGCGCTTTTCAGCAGCTTTCATTCCCTAGAGCTGTAGAATCAATCCTTTTGAGAAAAAAAAACAACCATACATTGAAATTCGATCTTAATCACTACAGAAAAACAATTAAAGTATGAATCTTTATCGAACCATAACTGATACATTTTATTTTCGTCATCAAGATTGATCTAATTTAAATTTCTGAAATTTTCATCAAATCATTCTGCACAAATTCAATATAAAGTAAACGAAATAGCTAATACCATCATTTAGCTACTCTTTAATTTCAATATGATTTTTTTGTTAAATATTTTAATAATGTAAATAATTAAATGAAAATGGTAGGACATATTTTATTGTTGGACAATCAAAAAAGAAAGAAAAAACAAAGATTCTTTTACATACAAATAATGAATAGCTTGAATGATTCAGAGTGTATAAAGGAATATTATTCTACGAGACAATACAAATTAGAGGAAATGTTAGTTTAGTCTATTTTTCTTTTTCTATCTTCTTTCAAACATTTTTCGTTTTTAGCGAAGTGAAAATGGAAGAAGATTAGAATGAAGACCACTTGAAAATAATTTGTACAGAAATAGACCATAAGCTGTAAATGTAGCAACAGCATTAAGAGTATAACCAAATGTACGTGCTGGATGATTGATAGCTGCATCAAATGTATATCGTCTAGAAGAACAAACAAAATAACATTCAATTTAATTAGAATTATCAATTTTTCTTTCGAATAAATCTTACCCAATAATAAAGATAGTTGATAATGCAGGTATAAGACGAAGATTATTTGATTCAAGTACTGAAGCTAAAGCTAATTTAGCAGCAGTAAATGTGAGAAATGATTCAGTTGTATTTGTTAAAATTCGTTGTGTCATTTGTAAATGATGATTGCCTTCAGGTCCTGTTGGTTCAACTCCATCTATAAAATAAATCTCGAAATATAAGGTTAATAAAAAACAATAAAAATTTACATTTAGCACGTACACCAATAACACACCAAACTGCTGTAACCATTGAAATTCCCTAAAAGAAATATATATATATGTCATTTAAAATTACATCAAAATAAATAAATATATGTATTCACTTCAAGACCAGTCCATCGAAGAGCATCTTAAAAAAAAGAATCAAATATAAATTAATTTCACATATTACAAATAAAATAAAACATACAAGCAACACGATCAGCAGCTGATGATAAAATTGGAATACTCATTGCTGGAATATTTCGATTAGCCAAAAGAAGAAGACCACCACTAACACCGAGTCCAGCTAATATATATGGACCATTGCGTTGAAGCTCAGATTCAATTGTACGAACTGTATCTCCTGATCGTGATGTAGACTTTGAAAAAAAAAGAAAAACAAATTATTTATTTATTTTAAACATAGAATTAACATACTGATTGAGCCATTTATTATAGATTCAATTAAACGAAAATGTTTATGTCTAAAAGAAAAACAAATATAAATCAGTGAAGGTTTTATTCGAGATGCATTATAATATGCATGTGTGTGTGTGTGTGCAAGTAATAGAAAGAAAAAAACAAAAGTGGCTATACGCGTATTTCTCTCTCTCTCAGCCGCTCTTTTTCTATTGCTTTTGTATTACCACGACCATTTTCAACACACATGCATGCATGCATCCCGCAAGTCGGAAAAAAGAGAAAATGGCGATTTATACACTAACTGTGTGCAATAGAAGCAATGACAAAGAAAAGAACGCAAACAACACTCGACGGTCGGAAAGAGAGAAAAAAAAGAGTAACAAGAACGAATATCTTAGCCCTAACTGACGTTGACTGTCTGCCTCATTTATGCAATCGACGACGAGGATGAAAAAATCGAGGGAGAAAAAGAGTGAAGAAAGACAAAAAGAAAAAGCACAACAAAGCTTGTAGCTTCAGTTCTCATATAGTACAACTATTCTTTTGACCTATATGCATTGCCTAAGTATAGAACACAATTGCAAAGTCAGCAGGTATCTAATATTCACATTGGAAACAAAAGAAATACAGAAAAATCCAAAGATTCTATTTCGTATTTTTCATATCCATTGAATTATTTTATATTTATTGACAAAACAATATCACGTAAAATTTCAAAACAAAAAAAAAAAAAAAAAAGAAACCATTCAAATTCAAAATCAATTATTTGCATGACAATCACCATTTATTCCCATATAAGCTGGCCAAATTTGTTGTTTAAATGGTAGAAGATCATTATTATCTAATATAATTGAACATTGTGTTAGATTATTTTGTTCACATTGAGTTTTTTTAAAATGTAAACGAATACGATAAACAGTTAATTGTCCAAATTGTTTTTTAAATGGATTTAACATTGACATTTGAACTTGATTAATTATATCAGGTGATATTTTTAAAACTGTTTCATATAAACGAGTTTTATTTGTACATAAATCTTCTATATAATGTTCATATGCATCATGATCCATACCATAAAAATTAACTAAGAAAACGAAAAAAGTAAATCAAAGAGAAAAATAAATCAATAAATCAATTTTTTTTTCACTTACCATTTGTTGATTTAAGTCGTTCTTCTTCTTTTGCCATGCCTTCATTAATACATTCACGTTCATTAGCATCTAATAATGTTGTTGTATCTGATTGAATCCAATATGTTGCAAATATTAAATCAATAGTTGATTTAGAATTTGGTTCAAATGAAGGAGCTAATGTACCTAAACAAATAAATAGAAATTATTAAATTTAAAAACAAAAAACAAATTGGTTTTTGTTTTTTGTTTTCAATACCAGTTGAAATAATTCTTTGTAATCCACCATTATCATGTGGACCAACATGTCGTTTATATTTTCTTCGATTTGAACGAAATTCAATATCATCTTCAATTTCATCATTATCATCATTTAATGTACTATCATCATTATTTTCATCGGATAATGTTGATGGATTTGTATTAGTTGTTTCTTGATTCTTTCAATAGAAAAATAAAAAACAAATTTAATAAAAAAAAAAAAAATTTTTATTTATTACCTGCATATAATCATCTAATCGTTGCCAAGATTCATATACTGATAAATAATTAGGATATTGTAGAAGAAATTTTTTTATATCAATTGAACTTGATTTTGTTGTACTTCGTTCAAGAGCAACATAATAATCTTAAAGAAAGACAAAAGAAAAAAAAAAGAAAATCAAGGGTTTTTTTTAATGATACATCTTCGATTTTCTTAAATTACTTGAATTATAAATGAGAATACCAGGTGGTTTCATAGATTGTGTTAGACCATGAAGTGCAGTAAAACTTGTTGATTGATATCGTAATTTACAAATATCAGCATGTGAAAGTAGTGCACTAGGAGCATCTAAACAAGATAAATCATTAAAATAAGACTAGAAAAAAAAACCAAGGAAACAATACTTATATCATAATCAATTTTTCTTTCTATATTATTATCAACTACATCACATTCTCCAATCCAATAAATAAACATATCATGTCCATGTTGTTTAAAACTTACTATAAAAAAGAAATTTAATTTTCAAAATTTAATATTTAATAAATACTCAACTAGTTAATGGAGAACTTTGTACACCAACTGTTTGTTCAATAGATTTATCAAGTATTGGTATACCCGTAAGACCATCAAGAATAGTTGTCTATTCATAAATGAAGAGAAAAATGTGTTTTGATCACCAAAAGTTAGTGATTTGATCATCAAATCAATTAAGAGTTGAGCCAATTACAATGACAAAACATTTTCATAAATAAAACTCGACTTTTCTAATGTTATATGAATAAAACGAACTAATTAGTTGGAAGTAATGATGCATCTCAATATAAGTGTGGGACGTTACAAAAATAAAGTTAAATTGAAGGTGAGCATGAAGATGGAAGGTAAGGATGTGAGTGAGGGTGTATGAGTATAGGTATCCTTGTGTGAGTGAGCACTTCTTCTGAAGGTCGATTCGACGTGAATGATATTTGGAAAGAGAGAATGATGCGTTTGGTTTTAATACTTCTTTTAGCTAATGTAGTGGATGCACGGAAATGTTGTAGTTGTCTATGATATGGCATTTATTTAATTGAACTGTTTCTTTTTATGTCTTTTTCATGTTGCCGCCTATCATTAATTTGGTGATCAAATCACTAATTTTTTTATGATCATTTCGCAGTAAAAAAATTTGGTGGTCAAAACTCAACTTTTTAGTGATAAAAGAAATACTGACCCATAAATGGATATGAAAAATTTCGAAATCAAATATTTCTATACCTGAGCACTATAATATAATGGATAACCTGGTCCTGTTTGATAATGTATCATAATATCAGGTATATCATCATCATTAAAATATCCAACTGCAGGTGAACTAAATTATTAATGATCAATTAGAATTTTCAAAGAAGAAAAAAAACAAAATAATTTAATAAACCTATATGTTTCTGAACTAGGAAAAGTTCTATTCCATAATTGTCGAAATGTTCTACCATCAAAAGCATATAATGTTGAATTATAAAGTGGAATAATAATATCTTCAATATTATCATTATTAACATCGATTAAAACTGGTGGTGTCATAACACCTTTATATTCATCACTAATTATTTTAATATACTAAAAACAAATAGATTTTCTTTTTTTTTTTTATATTAAAATTGTTTTTTTTTCTATATTACTGGTGATGAACAATAAATTGTAAAACATTTTAAATCAAATGCATAAAGTCCACCACCATGTGTTTCACCACCAGTACCAATAAGAATATATTCTTCATTTGATGATCTTCGTAATAATTGTGGAGAATAATATGACTCCATTTTATCAGGAACAATAGATACATTTAATAATTGTCCAGTTTTTGTACTAATAAGAAGAACTTCACCTGCTAATCGAACAGTATCATCTAAAAGAAAAGAAAAAACATTTATTTAAAAAAAAAAAGTTTTCATTTTAATATACGTGGTTTTCTTATTGGATCACCACCATGTATTGTTATAATATCATCTAAACCATCATTATCAAAATCTTTTTTTAAATATAATGGTGTATAAAAATTCATTGTTGTTTCTCGTATATCATTATTAAATGTCCATATTAATGAACCAGTTTTTCCACTAATAGCTTCAAATGTCTAATGAATAATAAATTAAAAACAAAAATATTCAAAAATTGAAACTTACACCTCCTCGTCCACCGGTAAGACAATCAGGAATATGATCTCCATCAATATCACGTTGACAATTTAATGCAAATACTTCATGATTTGATTTATTATAACTCCATAAAACTTGTCCATTACGACCATCTAAAGCCTAAACAAAGAATAAAAAAAAAAATTTTAAATATACAAAAACAAATTAATTTTCTTACTTTAACACCTCCATTACATGGATGATTTCCATCAAAATAAAGATCACATAATAATCCATTATCTGCTAGTGTATCAACACCAGTTCCATAACCAAATATAACATCAAGTATACCATCAGAATTACAATCGACAAGACGAAATGCTGTTTCTGTTAATAATTTTGGAAAACCACTTGTCCACATAAGTTCAATTTGAATATTTTCATTAAATTGTTTATTATTTTTTGGATGAAACATAATTGAACTTAATAAAACAATTAATGTTGCTAATATAAGTGCAAATAAAAATGTACAACATAAAAATAAACGTATAGAACGTTTTTCATATTGTCGATGTCTAAATATGAAATAAATTCTTAATTTATTATTACAAAAAAAAAAAATCTATTTTATTACAAACCTATATGTTAAAATATAATCATCTTGAAGCGTTTGTTCTTTATTAAGTAAAGTTCCTTGATCCTCATTCATTGCCGACATTTGTGAAAGATTATAAATCTCCGTACTATTTGCATTTATGAACATCTTAAAACTCTGTATAATCTGAAACACATTTTCTTTCCGACATGAATGAGTTTTTCTATCTAACTATATCTGTTTTTTCTTCTTTCTCCGCGTCTTTTCCTTGTCGTTCTGTTCTCCACTATCTTCTCTCAATGAAAACAACAACAACATTGTTATTTCTTTTTTTTTTTTCTTCTTCTTCTTTTATAATAATCCATTGAACTCTTAGATCGACATCATACTTGAAACTCTTATGAATACAATAAGAAAAAATGATTTCTCTAAAACAAAAAAAAGTTCTTAACTCAAATACAAGATGATTGTTGATATTTGTTTTTTATTATGGATTGCCTGACTAATTCAAAAGATGTCAATATTCATCAAATATGTTGAAGTATCGCAAACAAGAAATGAGTTGAATATAAAATAAATAAAAACTATGCAACAAAGAAAATAATGACAATGAAATAAAAAAATAAATATTAACAAAACGTGATATTTACATAATTTAAAATCTTATTTTTTTAGAAATAAAATGAATACGAAGTAAAAAGTAATTAAAAATTTATATGTAATAAATAAAGAACATGCTGTTCTGGATCGTAATGATAGATCTTATTGGTAGTTAGACAAAACATTAAGAAACTTTCTTGAATTTGATTTACATTCTATCTCTCGGTTATGTAGATCCATTAAGTAGTAAAGACAGAAGAAATCTCATTTCGTATGGATATGAATCTCTGATTACCTTAAATTATATCATTTTTTTCACAACATAATTCAAATTTATAGATGTAACAGGCCCGAGAAAACAAAAAAATATGCGTTTTGTTTAATCATTTTCTTCGTATATGTTGACGGATATAAAAAGAAAAACATGTACTTCATTTTTTCTTTTCTCACATTGTCATATATTTTTAATAAGCTCTTGACATGCAGTCATGTTACTCGACTTTTGAAAGAACATTTATAGTTGTCAAAGTAGCCATTTTATCAACAAGTTATTGCTTATGTAGTAGCACCAAAAATTAATCATAATAGATTTAATTTTGAGTTTTTTTTTCTATGATGGTAACTGATATAAAGAATCTAAAGAGTAAGTTGAATAAATTCGAATCCTAACATAAAAGTTTCTTTTGATTACAATGAGTGATAGAGGAACTAATTCTCTAGAAAATGTAATGTCTCCGAGCTCTCTATGACATTAATTTTCAGAAAAGCATAAAAACTTTTATGGTCTCAAAGGAAATGACAAAAAAAGACACTATTGTGCTTTTCATAAAATTGATGTCGTTTAGTTAAAACATGTCGTAGAGTTACTAAGAAACATCTCATTTTCTAGAGAGCTAGTCACTCTATCATTCTGTATAATCAAAAGAAATTATTACTTTGAGGCTTGGAGTGCTGAACAAGTAGACTTCAGATTTTTGGAAATACTCTGAGAATTTTATTTTTCTCCAATCTTGATTGGAAATCAATTTCTCTATCCGAATCACTATTTGGATATCTTTATATACCAGTTACCATTACGGAAAAAAAATCATCTGTATGATCAATTTTTAGAGCCACTGTATCAATGTGTATTAGTATTTAGTGCAACAAGTTACATCTATTCGTCAGTCAAATATTTTTGATTTGTACCAATAATATTCACACTCTAGGTTCTCTAGGTTTTTATCGATTTATAGAAATATTGACAATCTGTTAAATGGAATAATTGATGAAACATACTGCTCATTGTTGTCGTAGCAGTTTAGTAAGTCGATTATCGATATGTACAGTATTTATTTTTGAAATATTCACTAGAACGCTGCTGTCAACAAACAAAATTTCCAATATGTTTTAACATCTGAAGGTCTATAGTATTGGAATACATTATTCATGAGACAAGAGATTTTTTGTAAGTTCATCCACCTAAATCAAATGTAATTTATGTCGATATCTTTACTAGAGAAGCTCGTGCTGAAGTTCGATTTTGTCTTCAAGTTGTTGTTATGGATATTTACACTTCCTTACCGATTCCTAATGCAACTGTTACTTTACAGAATTGTGAAGAGTTACCGCTATGTACAGGTCGTTCACTTTATTCTGAAACGATTTCGATCGATTTTTCTCCGTCAATGGCTTATCGAGATCCGATGATTTTCATATCAGTCTACTTCACATACATTGTAGATATTGTTATAATATTCTTAGTTTGAATAAACAAATGTCTGCTAATAAAACATCTAATAATATTAAAGAGTGCATCAAATATCTTTTCATGGAATAATACTCGTATTTAGTAAAACAACAACATTTATCTGAAATATGTTTGTATGTATCAAGAAGTATCATTAGGCATGTTTCTAAAAAGGTTGAAAAACAGCCTCAATTAGCTTTATTAAACAATTAAAATTCAAAACTTTATAGTCCATGTCGTGTGACAACGCATACAATTGGTTGGTCGCACTATGTCACATATAGACGAAGAACATTTTCCTGCTATTTAGTTAATTGTTACAAGGTATCATATTAGTGTTGCTACGACTTTTCCTATTATTCTCGATATAAATCATGCAAAAGACTGTGAAGAAAAACTTACGAGGGAGTCTCACTAAGTGATTAAAAGTTTTTGGATTCATATTCTGGCCATAAGTAGGGCTAGGTGGGACTACAGAAATCCCAAAAAGATTTGCTTTCATGAGCCTATTTAGTTGAGATATGCACGTTCCAGGTTTAGGACCAGAAGCGTAGATAAACTGGTTCTCGTGGTTGAATTAGGTGTGGGTGGGGTGTGGATGTCTATGAATAATTCACCCACACCCATCCTCGAGGTAGATAACAATTTTTATTCATTCATATAAATAGGTATTCTATTAACAAATACAAGCGGTATAACAACATCTGATGCAATTTATCCAGGATGATGTACATTGGTTGAATTACTCATATACATGTTAAAATTCGTCTTCATGGAACATATATCAATATATCAAATGTTCGTACTGGTCAACTGTTTTTCAATGATAGATTCAGTAATTTGGTTGATCAACAATTACATTACTGTGCACATTCAGATAATCGAATATTGAATATGTGAATGTTGTAAGTAGTGTGTTTAGTAGCTTGATAATTTCAGTAACACTTGACGTTTCGTCATTTGTAGTGTCGATGGCAGACAGTGGTACTAGAACGACGACTTTCGCATCAAATACATTGTCCAACTGTGTTGGCGTTGATTATCTTTGTTATAGTAAAAAATAAAGATATATGTTGGTTTATCTATAATACGTTTTCAGTATTTATAATTCATTTTATGAACTGTTAATACTATAGTAAAACTGATTATAATAATGTGTACAGAAATTTTGTAATTTTTAACAGAATAAATTAATTATCTTATGTATAGACGTTTATTTACATTATTAAAATGACTTCATCGATCTCTTGGAGTTTATTTTTTACTAAGAAGAAGAAGAATTCATTTCATAAATTGCTTTGTTTTTATAACGTTACTACTAATTAAATTCTCACACAATATTGAAAATCCATTGAACATCTTTACATCAGAATCTTCAACCGACACAAAAGAAAATCGCTCATTTCTTTTTCAAGTTCAAATTCTATTTTAATTATTTGATATTATTTTCAACTATCCGTTAAATTATATGTGTTTGCAAAAAGAAAAGTTCGCACAACAAACGAAAAAATTTTCAAGCAAAAAAGAAAAAAGACAACAACAAAAACTATTGCGAGATAAAAAAAAAAGAAAACACAAAGTCATGATGATTATTATTTATTTTTATTTTTGAGGATAAAGACATTGAACATTATGCGGATAATCACATCGATCAACTTGTGTATTAAATCGAAGTGTTGATGGACAATTTCGACTTAATAACATTCCATATGGATTTGAACTAATACCTAAATTATAAACAAGAATAACAAAAAAAAAAGAATCCAAATTAAAACTAATTGAAAAATCAAACCTTGTTGATAATGAATACATTCAAAATATTTTCCTTCTATACAATTATATAAATCAGCAAAACGACCATTTGATCGACATCGAAAATATTCTTTCAAAATAAAAACAATTGTTTATTATTTCAATAAAAACAAAAATCTACAAACCAGTTTCACAAAATTTTCCTGTATATCCACTTTTACATACACAATAAGCTAAGACAGATAATTCTGATGCATTCTCATGGCATGTACCACCATTTGAACATTTGATTCCACTACAACTACTAGTTGCTAAAATAATAATATAGGAAAATAATAATAATAATAAAAGCAAGCAAGAAGAATTTTTATAGATATTAGAAATATCTTCATTTTGATGTATTAGGTAATTTGTAGAATTATATTTATGAATTTTCTTTTCTAGGAAAAATTATATGAATTAAACTTACGTAATAAATGTTCACAAAAACGACCAGTAAAACCATTAGGACATACACATATTTCGGAACCGAGCATTGCACATGTACCTCCATTTTGACAGGGACACATCAATGAACGAGCAGTACTCGTTATAACTGAAGAAAAAAAATCAAATAATCTTCTGTTGAACTAAAAATCTATTTGAATTTCATGGTAATTGATAATAAATATTATGGGGGATTTTAAAAAATAATCTTCTGATTGTAGATCAGAAGTTTTTATTTTAGCAAATCATTTAAATAGACATTTCTCAATCGATTTAGATTGATTTATAATGATCACTATTAGATATATGCTGAAATATAGTACTTCAACCAATATCGAATATAAAACTGATTTACTTGATCTAGGTAAACATTGTGGATGAAACAATCCATCTGGACAATAGCAAATATACGATGCATCAAGATCATAACAAACTCCACCATGTTGACCTTATTAAAAAAAAAAAGAAAAAAAAATGTAAACTTAATAAACTAGTATTATTTTAAAATGACTTACATGGATTTGATTCACATTCATTAATATCTTAAATTATCAAAATAGAAATAAAAATAAACTTAACTTTATAACTTACTCGTTTCACAAAAAGTACCAGTAAAACCTGGAGTACAAAAACACCGATGACTAAGTGTTATTTGTAAACATTTTCCGCCATTCATGCAAGCCTGAGGATCCGATGGATTGCATGTATAAGGTGAACGTGTAGTTGTACTTGTAATAGTCGTCAACATTCGAGCAGTCGAAGATGGATATGCAAAAGCTTAAATCAAAAGACATTATGAATTTAATGAAATAATTTTAAAAAAAAACACATTTACTATGACAAGATAAACCAAATTGTCCATTTGGACATAAACAAACAAATGGTAAATTTCGATCATCAAGTTGAAAACATTTGCCCGGATTACATGGACTTTTTGAACAAGGTGAAATGATTTTTTCTATAAAATAATAAATAAAACGTTTTTAAAAAAAAAAATTCTTTTTGTTTTTTATATTTAAATACCATTGCATAATTTTCCAGTCCATGTCGGTAAACAATTACAATAATAACTTGCTAAACCTTCAATACATAAACCATTTACACAAGGATTTGAATAACAACCAGTACGTGTAACTATATGTATATATATTTATATATAAAGAAAAAAAGATGTTACTTATTCTAGAAAAAATAATTCATATCAAACAACAAAATTATCTACCATTGCAATGTGTTAATGAAATAATATCACCAGGACATCGACAAATATATCCATGAGCTAAACTTGGTACTATTTCACATAAACCTAATCCACAAGGATTTCTTAAACATGGATCTATTGAAAAGAAAAAAGACTTTTTTTTTCTAGATGAATATTATTTTTCGAAACATTTTCAACAAACTTTCAGATGGACATGGTAATATTGTATTTTTACCATTAGGACATCGACAATAATAAGGTAATGAAGGATTTAGTGTTAATATACAAACACCCGTACCACAATTAATTGTATTACAAATATCTATTAGAAAATTATTTATTCATAAAATATATTTAATTATTATTTTATTACCTTGACTATAAGCAAGATGTATTGTAATGATAAAGTAAAGACCAAATACGATCATGTTAATTGAACTGTCTGTCTCTGTTTTAAAAAATGACGAATGCAATCGAAAAGATCGGTGACAATCAGACATTTTCAAATAATTGACTATTCTTTTTTTTTTTGTTTTTCACATCTCATATTTCGTTACTTCTTCACATAGATTTGATGACGTAGCAGTTGAGGTCATTTGATCACGTTGTCTGTCTCGTCAGTTGGACAAAACAAAAGTAGTCATCTTAACTATTAAGTTTACACATTAAGACCTTGGAAATAAGGCGGACACAACAAATAGTCATTGACTGAGTGTGTAATTTGATCATCAATATTGAACAAAGAGCAATGCATATTCGATCATACGTGATCAAAACAATACTTCGTCGTCCTTTTCTATTCGAAGGACAGAACAAGGAACTTTTGAATTCTTATTTTTTTTTCTTATTGTTTAAATCAAAAATCAAAACATTGAATGAAATAAGCAATAGGCATTTTTTTTTTAAAACATAATAAACATTTAGTTTTCATGTTTTCATCTCTATTCCGTTTAAATCAACTTGATTCAATCGACAAAAGCGCACATACATCTCACGTTAAAAGGATTTGTATTTTTTTTTTCGAGAATAATACAAACACATGTACATAAAATTCAAGAGAAAAAAAAAAAGGTTTGCACAACACTGTTTGCTTTATTAATCGACACCGAAAAAAGAAAAAGAAAAACGAAACATCATGAGCTACGCAACAAGCCTACTAGCTGCATATCCATCATCATATGGTACATCAACATTACTTAGTGATAATCTTGTTAGACGTTCATCTTATGATAATATTTATCAACCATCAGTACCTTATGGAAATACAGATCGATTATTAAGTGATGATTTAGCATTTAATCAAATCACTCATGATATACCGACATATCATCCACCAATATATTCACTTTCAAATTCTACATCTGTTTTTCCTACAACAAATTATCAAAATTCAACAATAAATAATTTTCATAGACCTGTTCCACCAAATGATTCATTTGCTTCATTAAATGATATAACTGAATATTCTGAAAGTCTTGTAACAGCATCAAATACAAATACAGCATCAAGTGTAGCTCGTTCAATAAATGATAATAATATTAATGGTCCAATAAATATATTTAAACATCATCAACAAGATAATAATCAAATATTAAATGATGTTGATAATAATCGACAACATAAATCTATTTGGAGTTCACCAGAAACAAAAAAGAAAGGACAATCAGATGAAATTAAAAAAAAAACAATACTTAAAAATCCAACACAACCTACAACAGGTGCACATAAAGATACTTCAATTGATAAATTAAATGATGATATAACACCAGTTCAATCACCACAACCACCATTAGCATTAACAAAACAACAAAATCATCTTCAACGAAATGCAGTAATTGCTGATGTTGAAAAACAACCACTACCAATCGATGTTCAAGCATGGATAAATGATACAAAAAAAGAATCACCGATTGATGAAAAACAAGCTGAACAAGCATGGTCAATTAAAATTGGTCAGTTGCATATGGCTCAAGTTCAACATGAAAAAGACAAAACAAAATCATTACGTGCATTACCAAATGGACCAAAAAAAGTTGATAATAGTCCATTTGTTAATAAAACAAAACCCATAAATGATACGAAATCTCGTGAACCAACATATGAAATTCAACATGATTCATATTTTGATACACTTTTTGAAGGAAATTATTTTCGAAAACCTTCAACAAATAATTATTCTATAAATTCATCTTTTCATCATTCAAAGCCAACAAAAAATAAATTAGCAAGTTCATTAAGTAAATTATTCTTACTAATTAACTTATTATTGAAATTCTCTTTTTTTTTTTAAATTCAAGATAATCAAAATTCCAAGCATGTTTCACAACGAAAAACAACTCATTATGAACCACCAACAACAACAACAACAAAACGTTCACAACCAACAATTACAACAACATCATGGAGAAAACAATGGCCAATACAAGTAAGATTATTTCCATATATTAAATTTATTTTTCAGTTTTGTTTTTAGTATCATTATGATTCATTGTACCCATATTATTTATATAATGAAATAACTCATCGTGATTATGTTCAAAAAGATACTGATGAACGTTTTCGTGAAGCTCTTCAAAAATTACGTGCAGATCGTGCTGAACAACACCAGAAAGACATAGTAAAATAAATTAATTTGTTTTTTGTCTTCTTTCGCAAATATTTTCATAGAAAATATTTTTTTATTTTGTAGAATGAAAAAACAGCTAAACGTTTACATTATGGTGATTATGTTCGACATTCAACGAAAGATGAATTACTTCAAAATGCTGTTAAACCATCTCCATGGTCTGATTTTATGGATCTTAAAAAAGGAAATCTTTATTCACTTTCAATAGAAGAAAAAGTTTATTAATTAATTTAAGAAAAAAAAAATATATATATACGATAATATGTTTTTTTTTCTATAAATAGAAACAACTTTATAATCAATCAAAATCATATGGTGAACGAGTTCGATATCGAAATTTTGCTATGAGTTATGGTGCTGATGCAAATCGATCATATCGTGATTCTGCACCTCTGACAGATGATAGTCAGGTTATTTTTAAATTTTTATTTTAATCATTCTCTAATTCTATATAAATAGGAATTTGATTCCGGTAATGAAACACCACGTCAACGAATGAATAATAGTGATTCAAAATCTATTAGTCGTACATCAAAACGACCTGGTTCAGGATCAACAACACATAAAATATATCCAAAACAAATAGGTATCCGTGGTGGTAATCGATCAATACCAAACCAAACAAGTCGTACAACAATGCGTACTGATCGATCAAATATCAATCGTCAAGGTGAAAATGACGATGATGATCTATCAAATTATAAATATAATAATAAACAACCGCTAAAGAAAAAAAATGTACGTTATGCAAATGGACGAACAACAACAAATAGTGATGATGAAAATGACAATGAATTTACTAATCATGGTCAACGAACAATACGTACAAGAAATCGTGATATTGATGATGATTTATTTACTGTACGTGAAGAAAAAACACTTGAGTCATTTGAAGGTGCACGATATAAAAAACGATAAGAATACTTATGGAGAACAACTATATATATATATATATTTTGTATGAATTTTTCCTTTTTGTCTTGTTTTGTTTTAATATAATGCATAAATTAAGGATTTCATTTGTTATGTTAATTGAAAACAAGAAAATGCTTACAGAGAAAATAATAAATAATCATTTTACTATTCTTAACGTATACATTTTGATAATTTTGTAAAAAAAAAACTCTTTTTTATCATATTACTTTAAAAACAAAAATGTGAACAAACAATACACAAAAACTTTTTGTTTTTATTCAATAAGAGAAGAGAAGAAGAAGAAAAAGAAAGAAAAAGAAAAAGAAAAATTTTCTTCTTTTAACGTCGCTATGATACATTTTTACATCAACATAATTTAAAGTTAGTCGGGTATTCGCGATCGTTCTGTTTGATTTCTTGACATACACTTTTACTGCTTTCTTGGCTCTTCTGTATTTTTTGTTTTCAAAATTTTTCACTATTGACATTATTAAATAACAGCATGATATTAATTAAGAAATTAATTTAATTAATCTTAATGTATTTATTGTTTTTCAAATATGAACAATTGAAAATTTCTTTCCTTAGTTTAATAATATTTTCATGTAATGTTGTTGTTGTTGTTGTTGTTTTTCTTCTTTCAAAATTCAATGTCAACAATTTCATCAAATTTAAGATGAGAACTATTGGACAGTGTAGAAACGTTCTGTATAGAAGGCTTCCTTTCCTTTAAAGTAAACATAATCCATCACACATTTGAAGAGTAACGTTAAATAGGTGCACATACACATAGGTTGTCTTGTTTTCTATGTATGTTGTAGCAATAGTATTGGAAAGAAATGAATACACTTGAAGCAGAATATTCTTTTCTAACACCAACATGGAAATTGCCATCGGTAACAACTTCATCAATTTATCCGCATACTTTTAGTACTTCACATTTATCTGACGTACCAACATCAGGTCCACATTGGGTGAGTAAGATAAAGTTAAAATAAAACAAAAACATTTACTTTGTTTATGTTATTCATTTCAATACTTATAAATAAATATATGCCAGCGTCTAATGTGAGATTGTTTCCAATCTTGAATTGAGAGTGACATTGAGATGGAAACTCGAACTAATGTTCGCGCTCGAATTAAAAACGTAAGAATTTTTCAATGTAATTTTTATTTTGATACGAGCTTCAGATCTATAATTCAAAACACAATTCACGTAATTATCTTTTCATATCTAATCGGTCAAATTATATAGAATTTTGTTGATTTTTTTAGCAAATTTTCTGACTTTTTATCGAAATTTCCTTGGAACGAAACACCATTGAATGTTTCATGAAGATGATGAGTTTTTTGGTATAATAACAAATAAAAAGACGTGATTCACTTTAATTCTAGCGCGGACATTAGTATGTAAATCGATGTTGTATTTTGATGCTTATTGATGACCTACAGAGAGCAGTACTTCATTGCTTCTTATCAATTTATCGATAAGCATCCGAATACAACATCGATCTACAAACTCGGTCGTGTTTTTACATCGATTTCTCTCTTCAATCTGATATTGGACATAATCTCAATTTGGACGCTAATATATATGTGTAATAGCGAGCATAATTTTCGAGCGGTTGTATTTTTAAGTTTTCTTTTCGATTATAATAGCTAACAAGAATATGAAAAAAACATTCGTGTAATTGAAAGGATTCTCTATTAGAATTGACAGCTTTGAGGACTTCAATAAAATTGGTTGGAGGAGAGTTTGCAGAAGACCAAAACCAACTTTCTGGCTTTCATTCGAAGCTTTTGAGAAAAGATTTTATTTAATAGAGCAAGTTGAGATGTCTCCGACATTCTTTCATTGAATTGCATTCAATTTATAGAAAGCTCCAAAGTGTCAAACATGGTAAAAATATTTGAATTTCCAATAAAAACAAAACAAAAATGTTTCTTCGGCTTTATGTAAATTGAATACAGTTCGATGAAAGAAGGTTGAAGATGTCTCATTTTGCTCTATCAAATAAAATCTTTTTTTAAAGTCTTCGAATGAAAGCCAAAAAGCTAGTTTTGGTTTTCCACAGACTCTCATCCAAGCAGTTTTGTTGGTATCTTCAGATCTATCAATCATAATAGAGAATTCTCTCAGTTACATAAATGTTTTTTCAGATTCTTACTAGCTATTACCATCGAGAAGACAGCTTAAAAATCCAACTACTCGAAACTTCTATCCGACACTACATATAAATATATATATATGTATATATTTGTTTTCTATTTCATTTATTCAGACATTATGGAATGGTACAACGTATAATTCACGATATATTCCTTCATATGTTCCTTCAACAAACATTCGTCGTAATTATCCTCTATCAACAAATTATTCACGAGTAGGACCTGTTATTATGTCTCAACAACAACAAAATTATCAATCACTTGGAAATCTTTCTATGCAATCCGGTCCTTCTTATTATCAACAAACAAACAGTCTATATGGTGATTATACTAATCCAGAAGATGGTCTTAATTTAACCATCAGTGTACATCCTAATAATGGATATGAATCATATGATAAAAATTCTAATTATGGTCAATCAAAACAACAAATGTTTAATCGTAGTTTAACATATTCAAAAAATTCTCAAAAGAATCGTCCACCAATAAATCAAAAACGACATGTACAAATAATTGATCATAATCGTCAAACACCATCAACAGTTATTAATGAAAATATATCTGAAAGAAATAGTCGTGTTTCAAATGCTGCTTCCTATACACATTATACTCATACACCTGATCCATATAAATCTCAAACAAAATCTAAAACACCTCTATCAAGTCAACATCATGATCAGACAGATGAAAGTAAACATAGTCATGATGGAAATAATTTTAAAGTTCATGATTATCTTTATGGATTGTCTGTACCTGATCCTGGTTAGAAAGAAAAATAAATATAATTTTTGATTTATTAAAGAAACCTTTTAATTATTTGTTTAATTCAGGTAGTTATACAAATGCATATAAATATCATCAACGTCGTTTACAAGATGAAAAATTAGGTCGTAAATCAGTAGTTAGTGAATATCGAAGTTTTGCACGAAATGGTGGTTTTGGTCCTGCTTTTGGAAATACAAATAATCAAACATACGACGATAAAGTTCGTTCGAAATTATTTTTCTTTTTTTGTATTTATTCACTCTTTTTTTTTTGTTGATTAAAAATTATTTTAAATTAGACTGATACTGAACATAGAAGAAAAACTTATTCAAAAGTTGTACATGATACAAATCAATATAAAATTGAAGAACAAAAACGTATTCAAAATCAACAAGGACCAAAAAAGAATCGTCCAGCACCCGTACCTAAACATCAACGGGTATGAAACTTTGTTTTTTTTCTAAGTTATGTTTATATTTAATAGAATGAATTATTTAATATGTTTTTTTTTAAACTAATTATTTGTTTGTAATTATATATAATCATACATATTTGCAGTTTCATGCAACTAGATCTCACTTTTTGTCAATACAACAGGTGAGAAAATTTCAACGAATAATCAAATATTAACATGATCTCAATTGAAAATATTCTTTGAATAAAATATTTCATTATTCATCTGCTTTAATTTATATATATATATATATATATATGTCAATTGATATACCTCGCTTTTAGTAATTTTCATTTAGATATTTAATTTCCTGCTTGCTTAACTATTTTCTATAGAACTTATTTATTGTCTTTATTTTGTTCTCTCTATATCGATATTATTCGATCGAATGAATGATTCTTTTTATATTAGCATAAAATATTCTATATATTTTAGGCTCGTGAATATGCGAACAAAATCGAAAGACCTCATCATATGAAACCAGTGGTGCGTTTGCGTGACCCTACTTCTGGCAACATTATTATTCGTGATGCTTCCCACCAGCATCATCAACGCATAACCTCTTGACACTTATTTTCCCTTTGCTGCATTGTTACGCTTTTTTTTTAATGCTTTATCCTATTTACACTATATCCTGCTTATTGATAAACGAGTTCTTTCTTCCACATCGTTTATCATTTGTATGTGTAATCAGCACTATATTTTGTTAGAAAGATTCTTTATTTTTATATATATATATTCAATGAAAAAAAAAAATACACATAGTCTTTTGAGGATTTTTTAGAAATCAAAATAGATAAATTGATCTCTACTAAAAGAAAAAGTCTTCACGAACAGATTTTTTGCTAAAGAAACTCTTAGACAAGCACATTCTATAATGTGAAAATTGGGTGAGAATAGAATTTCAAGCATTTCTATGAACTATTGTAAGGTAAAAAGTAAAATACAATTGTATTCATTGAAATCGTTTCACTTTTATTCTTGAAATATATTTCAAACGATACTTAAAAAAAAAGAACTACTCGAATTTTAATCGAAGAAGAAAAAAAATAAATGTTGTTGTTTTGCTTTCAAGATTAAACCTTTTTTTTTTTTTATTTCATAGTTTCAAGCAGAATTTTCATTATTAATTCCAATTTTTGTACCAATCATAATAACATCTTTATTAAATATTCGATGTCATTCAAGGTTAAACTATATTCAAGATTCAAATCGAAATGATTTCTTCTTCGATGAATTTAATATTCATTTCAATAATCATAATTTTCTACAATATCATTCAAAAATATATTTATTAATTTACCATTACATATTATTGGAAAAAAAAAGTATATCTAATCGAGCAAACTTATTATCAATTGATTTAATAAGACAAAAAGAAAAATCAACTTCAAATAATGAAAAAAATAAGAAATAAATAAATCATTTCTAAACATATTGAAAAATCTTCAAATTTTTCATTACAATCAATATCAAATAATAAAAATGAAACAAAATTCATTACATCACACAGTATGATAATATGAGATTACTACCGCCAACAGCGACGTTATTATTGATCAAATATTTAAACCTTCACTTATAGCAACAACATCAACAAATAGTAATTTGAAAGAAAAAAAAACTACTTCGTATACGAACATAAAACATTGTCAATATACATTGATTGCATGTTCAATTTTTTGATTTTTATAGAAAAATTAGAATAATGTTAAATCGAAATTTTGACTTACAAATAAAATGATTTCATAAAAATTCATCCAATGAATAAAAATCTTTCTTTTCTTTTTTCTTGCTTATAAAAGAAAAGAGATAAAATAGTATATGAAAGGTCATATTAGATAATAAAACAATGCCTGAAAGTCTAAATCATATTGATAAAAATATCTCAAAAGAAGAAAAATATAAACAAATAATAATTGAAATAAAACATTTAATTCAACATGAAAATGATTTAATAGCAAATCTTGCTAATATTAGTGCTATTCTTAAAGAAATATTTTCTTTTTGGTGGGTTGGTTTTTATTTAGTTAAAAATAATCAATTGGTACTTGGTCCATTTCAAGTAAGATTATTAAATAAAAGACTTTTTTTTTTTGGTTCTTATGATTAATTTATTTTCTTTCGAAGGGTTCATTAGCTTGTACAAGAATTCAATTAAATAAAGGTGTTTGTGGTACAAGTTGGGGACAACGTAAAACAATTGTCGTTAAAAATGTTCATGAATTTCCTGGTCATATTGGTATGAAAATAAATATTTTTTATATTCCAACAGCTTTTGTTTTTTATTTTTTATCTTGTAGCTTGTTCATCGGCTTCATTATCTGAAATTGTACTGCCTATTATTCGAATATCATCAAATGATGAACAAGCACAAGTATTAGGAGTATTGGATATCGATAGTGAATATGAAGCTCATTTTGATGATGTCGATCAATATTATCTTGAAGAACTCGTGCGCGAATGCATTGAACCATGTTTTAGTTAAAAGAGAGAAAAAAAAATCTCTTCAAACTTGATAAATATTCTTTTTATAATTACTCGGTTCATAGGACAAAATAGTCTTTTTTTCTTTTTGTTATTAATGAATTATTCATGTATAATGAAAAAAACGAATTGACGTTTTACTAATAATGATTTTCCTATAACTATTCGATGAGAGTTTTTTTTTTTGTCTTCTTATACATTGAAATATATTGGAAAAAAAAACAGATGCTTTTGTCCTTGAATAGATTGATGAATACAATAGGAAAAATTATTTTTTTCCATTCTTCTTTTTTTTTGTTGCCGAGAGGAATATATGATGAGAGAACACATGTAGCATTTAAAAGAGATCCTCTGCTCATTAAGATAGCATTTTTTCGGATGCTTTATCGTTCGATACAGTCTAATTAACAAGCACGAATACCCATAAGTGAATGAAAAATCTCTATTAACTTAAATGACATTGAAGTGTGTACATATGATCATGCTTTATTTAGTAATGTCTATATATTCTTGTCAAAATAAAAAGAGAAAAAATTAATACCATCTATTCATACAAGAGAAATAATTCGGTTGGTAATCTAGATAGATGTGGAATTGACCTTCGATTTCTTTTCTTTTCTTTTCTTTTTTTTTTTTTTTTTTCTTCATATCAAATCTCGTTAATAGACTTATTAGCAATTTATGCGAGAAAAGCACGTATATAAAGAATAGTTTTTCAGAAATCGGAAGTCAACATGATGAAAATAAAGGTGTATTATTTACATTTATTCCTTTTTCTATTTTTTTTCCATCATCGTTTTGACTGCCCATTCACATATAATAGACTAAGAAAGAGAAGAGAAGAGGAAAAGATCGATCTTAAACACATTTTCTCTTTTTCTCGAAATCTAAACAATGATTTTTCTTTTTTTTTTTATATTTTTTTCAGGTTTCTTTCTTTTTTCTCTACATTCCGATGCAATCGTTGCCGTTAGTATAAATAACGTCAACATGAAAAATAATATTTAAAGTTATTATGGTCTTTTATTTTGTTCAATAATTGATCAAGTAGGTTTAGTGTTCGATTATTCTTTGTAAACATTTCAGCCGAAATCAAACTAACACTATTTATGGACAGGAAATAAAGTAGATGATTTCTTATATTTACCAAAGTTATTTTATAGAGTAAGCATATGTGTTAGTATGTCAATATAAATTAACAATTGTGACAAATGGATCTATGTATATATGAATTTATAGTACACATATATAGAAGTTTGAAGTTTTTATAACAAGACAGAAAGAAAAAAAAAGAATTTCAACGTATCTTTTAACTTAAACGATCATTCTATATAATTTCTTTTTTTTTTTTACGTCATTTGATTTCATCTTTTGATTTCATACGTATACATGCATCCACCACCTGTTGTGCTACACATACTATTCATAGTAGCATAACTTATAAATTTGTCAATCTTCTTCTTGTTATGATTATTTGTCTTCTTTTATATTTCAGTGTCAATGATGTTTTACTACGTTTTATTCTTTGAATTTCTTACTTTATCGGTAATTATAGCAGATCCGCCTATACCACCGGTTGATTCTAATTCTTATGTATATCCATCACGATCATCATATGATTATTATGGACATCGACAAGCACAATCTCAACAAAAACAATTGCAAACACCTTCAACTTATTTAAATAAACGAAATCCAGATAGTAATATGTATCCAAATTCTCAACAATCATATTCTTCAATTGCATCACCGTATGGAAATACTCCAATAAGATCATCGGCTAATCAATGTAAATTACATATTAATTGTCCAAGTAAGAAAATAAAGAAAAAAAAATTTCTTTTTATTCAATTATTTAAATATAAATGTTTTTTAGATTCAAGAAATCGAGTTACACTTGATATTCAAGGACCAGCTGGTAGGTTTTTTCAAGAAAAGATCAAAAATTAAAATAAAAGAAATCTTTCTTTTGAGGACCACCTGGCCCACCGGGCAAACAAGGCATGCAAGGTCCAAGTGGTCCACCAGGTTTATCGGGACCACCAGGTAAAACTATTTTATTTCTTAAACGGAATGATTTTTTTTTCTCTTTCAAGGTCGTGATGGTTATTCAAATATAAAATCTGCTTTTTTTGCTGCATTAAATAACACATATTTTTTACAAACAGATTCATCTATAATCATTTGGGATGATATATTATTAAATAAAAATAATAATCTTAATAATAATACGGGTATTTATTATGCACCAATAAATGGTTTATATGAATTTAGTTTAACTGTTTGTGTACCAGCGAATCAAATTGTATGTTGTATTTCTTTTTTGTATTTTAGATTTCATTTCTTTTTTCTTTTTTTATTTTGATTTTAGGCATCTGTATCTTTATGTAAAAATGCAGAAAATGTTGTACCATTATGGGTTGAAGGTTATTTAACAGCTGTTAAAAATCAAAAAGTACCTGTTTGGAATACAGCATCAACAACAATTGTTTTATTTTTAAATAAAGGTGATCGAGTTTATATTCGAGCTCAATCACGTGAAGATGGTGATTATAATTTTAAAACATCATTATACGGTTGGCGTTATACAACATTTGGTGGATATTTAATTCATGAAGACAATTAATCTAAACTTTCATTATATGTTCGGTTGTGATATAATATCTAATATTAATTTCTAAGAAAAAAACAAAATTATATTATTAAACTCATTTTATTTAGTTTATTTGATGTATATATATATATAGATATATAGAATATGTCTGTAGTTTATATATCGACAAAGGCACTATTGAAAGAGAATGTGAATTTAATAATCGACATCACAAAATCTCTTTGAATAATGCTTTCGTTTTATTAAACTTACTGTTTTTTTGAAATAATATATATGCATGTATACCAATGTATTTGTACTTGTATTTATAGGTAGTAGTTTCGTTTCGTTTTTTTTTTTCTTTTTCCATTTCAACAATTGTTTCGCTCGCTCTCTCGCTCTCTCTCCCTCTCAAGTCACAACCAGCTTTAATATTGGATGCATTCAAGCATGGATTTTTTTTTTTTCACCGGTCGAAAAGATAATAATGAATAGATAGGTGAATAGAGGGGATAGTCATCAGTCAATGAATATACGCATATATTTAACGTGCACATTAGAATAAAAGCGAAAAAGCCATTGCTCGAAGGTATGTTGAAAACAAACAGACAAGCCGAATGAATATATAGGTGATGTTATCGTGTCACATCTATTTAGGCTATTGGATATCGTCCTATACGTATATTCACCTTTTTTTTTTCTTTTCTTTTTTTTTTTTCAACTGTCTCGATTTATCGGATTGTTTGGTGAGAAATAAAATTATGATGAATCATCATTTGGATTTTTAAATATGTTATTAAACAAGGAAAAAGAAAACATGTGTATTCATATGGATAGAAAAATCAAAAGATTGATATCAAATCTAATTATATAGATAATCTTATTGTTTAATTTGATTTTAATATGGAAGGAAAAAAAAAATTCGTGATTTTAATTGAATCAATTGTTTTATTAAATAAGAATGACTTGACCTTTTGATTTTGTTTAATATATGAATAAACTATAATCCATCATTTTTATCAACGAATCAATCAATATTGCTTATCAAGCATGTTCTTTATTCAATGGATTTTCTTCTTTACTTAATTGTATATTGATTAATAATATGTGATTTATTCAAAGTTATTTACAAAAAAAAAGAGAGAGAGATAATCATTCTTTTCCTTTCTTACAGTTCATTTTCATTTTCAATTGTTTTAACTGATGTCTTTCTAATAATCTTAACATCATATATGATAGTCAAATTTATATTTAGTGTTCATCAATTAATTAATATTTTTTTGCTCGCGGCTTGAAAAATTCTAAATTTAATAATATCTTAATCAAACACATCCTACACGTCTTAATTGTTTCTATAATTGAAAAAGAAAACCCCTTAAACTAAATATTTTAGTTTTCATGGAAACAATTATTTAATTTTACAAAAAAAGTTATATTCATAAATAATAGAAAAAGAAAATAGGAGGAAAACACTATAGAATAATGGATTTTTAAACCAATAGAAATAAAGCTAACATACAAGAAAAACTAGCGGGTGAACATAAAAGCAAAGACAAGAACAGGAAGTAGTCTGCTGAGCATGGCTAGTGAAGCCTTTGCGCTTTCAATGTCAAATATAAACTGATTGGAGATCTCTGGAGATTTAATATAACATTGAACAAATTTCTTATTTTTTATAGATCATAGGATGTCCTGAAATATCAAAGGACTATTCGAAAAAGAAAAACAATGAGGTCAACAACGACGGCCTTGTTATTTCAAAGGAGGTTATGGTATTTATAATTTACAGAAAAAAAAACAATTTTGACTAAATAATAATTTCGTTCTTTTTTTTTTTTGATTTTAGACTCCATAAAAAAAAGATGTTTAATTTTTGAAAAATAAATATCTTTCTAATGGATATAACACCTGATTTAAGTCATTTAACCGATGATGAGAAAAAAATAATCGAAGCTGTTATTAATCGACAAAAAGTTGAAGAAAAACTTGATACATTTAGAATTCAGTAATTAAATATTAATTCAAAAGAAAACAAAAAAAAAAAGAAGGAGAATTATTTTTATTTATTTAGATCTCAAGACAATGATTATTCATCCCCACCAAAAGCTATATCTTCTCGTCATTATTCTCAATTAAATGAATCAGGTATACTTTGTCAAATTTGTCAAAAAACAAAATTTGTTAATGAAAAATCATCTCGTCAATGTTCAATATGTCAAAAACATTTTTGTGTACGTTGTGGTATTCGTTTAAAATCACAATATTATGTTTGTAATCAATGTAAACAAAAACAAGAACATTATTTTTCATTAAGAAATAATACATGTAAACAATATTTATCCGATTATATTTTATCTCAAACATTAAATGAAGATCAAATAAATAAATATGGTGCTAATCAAAAACGT